GGCATCCGGACAGACGTCTGGGCGGACGTCCATGAAAAACAAAGTATGGCTTTGGATATCTAGGCAAGCGCGCCGCTGCAAAAGCTGTGTATATTAGTAACGAGCGGTGAACTGAAAAGAAATGTTTTTCCCATCATTCAACGGGTAAAACACACATGGGTGATAGAGAATCTCTGAGAAATGAATTATATATCATCTCTACCCATCACTATCCCATCTCCTCGACGGGAAGAAGAGATGGGTTCTGTCAGAACTCAACAGAGCACTTAAACTCCGTTACATACAGAGCCTTGTGAAGTGCAACAGAAGATGAAACCAACATAACAAATAGAGATACAACATGCTAAACATTTGACCATTCTTCATCATTCACATATTCCTTATCTCTCAATAAATTTGAAGATTATTATTCTTCATCTATTTTTCCTTCTCTTTAGAAAAATCATCTGTGAGCTTTAGTATTAAGCACATATACCTTTGAGAGGTTTTTACTGATACAACTCAGGGCTTGAATCTTTGTATTATTCCTTGAGAGAGAGTTTCTTTGCAACTTTCTTTGAAAGCAAAAACACCATTTCAATCTTGTAAGAGTGTAGTACACTCAGTGTTCTTGAATCCTTGAGAGTGATTGAGAACTATCTAAGGATTTCAAGGTTTTGAAGACTTGGAAAGTCTTTGTAAAATCTATGGAGGATTGCTCCATGTACAAAAGGTTGCTAGCACCCCTGTGAAGTTAGAAGATTAGTAGAAAATCTCAAGTGAAGCTTAAGGAGTGGTTGTAGGCTTGATTGAAGCTAAACCACTATAAATCTATTTGCCCCTTTTTCCCTAATCTCCTTACATTTCTATAATTGTTATATTTCCTACTGTCACTTGCCATTGAGTTAATCATCTCATTCTTCATTATTATAATTGACTATTGTATGAGTTCTCACTAATTGTGTTTTCTATAATCCATTGGCAATCTATCTAGTCATTAATTTGATATTGTTGTGTAAATCATCTAACATGTTCACTGTATTACCATATTCCTGTGATTAGCAAGTTTGTTATTTGTTTTTGTTCAGCTTGAATCATCTCATATATATTCTATATTTGTTGTTCTATTTGTTTAATTTTTATTGGGTAATTGTTAGCATTTTTTTAATTGTAGAAACCTAATTCATCCCCCTCTTAGGTTGTCTTTTGGATAACAATTGAGAAGACTTAGATTGAGCGAGCTCATCTGGCTAAGATAGATTATTTGTTTTAGATTAAGTCACCTCATCTATCTTTAGTATCTCATCAATAACTAATTATATTACAGAGATTACATTGGGTACAACACTCCTCAAGTCCCTTAACATGTGGATACATGCTCTAATTTAATTTGTAGGAATGGTTGGCTAAGCCACATACCCTTAGATTATGTAGTATCTTTAATTTCTTGTATTTTCTTTCTCTACTTTTCCATTGAAGCTATAACGGATTTCTCATTGAAAAGTGTTAAAAACTCTCTTCTTGACCAACTTTGAACATGGAAATGGATTCCACATCCATATTCCATGACTAAAAAAACAAGTGTTAAACTACTTTTGATGAGTTATATGTATCTTCCCCTTTCTTCCCTATTTTGTTAGAAGTCTTATAAAGCTTTCATAAGCATTGTAAGGCTTCCCCTTTGAAAGGGTGCAATCTGTTCACTCTAATTAATAGCATGGATTTGGTTATTAGTTTACTCTTATTCACAAAGATATGAATGCAGGTTTCCATCTATTTCTTTGATTTGGTGTTTCCTAATTTCAATTTCCATACTTGTTAAATTCAGCTTGTGTTGTAATAATTTCCAACCCCATTTATTTTATTTGGTGTTGTAATAATTTCTAACCTCACGTCTTTTATTTAGTGTTGTAATAATTTCTGATCTCCATTTCTTTATATCCCATATTATGTATGTCTTCCAATCCCCACTTCTTTCTATCCTGTTTATTTCCATGCTTTCCATATTTGTAAAGAGCCTCATGTTTTATTTTTCATCATACCCACGATTTGTATCCATATTTCATGCATTCAGAATCCGCTCATTTTCATCTGTGGATTTAATCAATTCCTATGTGATTTTATGCGTTACCCCATAACTTGAGATAATTCACATGTTATGTATTAGTAGCTGTAGACACCCCATTTTTGACCGTCCTCAAGCCTTGGGCGTCATCGTTTGTGCACTCGGTGATTGTGCTTGTTTGTGTTCATTTTGAGCGCCCGAAGTCCTCGGTAGAACGCCTTGTCTTTGAGCCTCTAAACCTTATTTGTTTTGTGCATGTTTTTGGACCAAGAGCTTGTTGCCTCTAGTCTGGAATAGTGGGCGACCTGTCGGCCAACCTCAGGGGTTGTCGGCTATGGCTTGTGCTTGTCGACTACCAGTGGTGGCCGACGGCCTTTGGTCTCTTTTTCCAGATATTTGTTGCCAGCTATGCCAGCTGTTGCTCACTGAGTTGTATCTCCATACACATGTATGGTGAGATGTTTCTAAGCTCAAGACTTGTTTTTCTATATATAGGGGGGTTCCTTCCCTATTTTTGATGGTTAGCATTTTTAGAACAAAAATATCTATCTCTCTCTAGAATTCTCTCTCTCTCTTGTTAGGTTGCACACATTTGCCTAGTTTCTCTTAGCTTTTACATACCAACCCTTAACCAAATACTCTCACCTTTGAGCTGAGATAACTTGGGACCTTCTTTGAGCTCTAGAAAGTGATTTGAGCTTGGATTATTGGCTATTTTGTGCTTTGCTTCAAAGGTATAGCACTTGCCTTGTTTCTACTTGCGTTATATCCTTGTTTTGCCATCCTTTTAAATTGTTTTAAGGCTGGTTTTGAAGTGTAAAAATCTCTGTTTTTATGACCTAAAAAATGGTGGTTTGAGGCTATTTTGAGTTAAGGGGTTGTCCACCCTTTTTGCTTCTTAGCTTGTTAAGCTTTTGTGCTATTATTCACCACTTTAAAGACAACTTTTTTGGACCTTTTAACCACAAGATCTCAAAGGTTTTTTAGTGGTAAAAATCAACTTTTGAAGTTCAAACTTGGAGGGGTTAGCCTCCCCTCCTTTTGTCTTGTTTGCATGACTAGTTAGCTTCATGAGTTAGCATCATGAGTTAGCATGTTTTTCTAGCTTAACTTAACTCTAGTCCAGTGTGTTTTTGCCTCTATTTTGGCTCTGTTTTGGGTTGGTTAGTTCAGTTAAGGCTTGTTTTGCATAATTGTAGTGTAATCTCCTTCACTAGCTTGATACTTTAATGCTTTAATCATCATTGTTTTGAGTTAATAGCATGTTTTAGTGTTGTTTTGCACTCCATTTCAGCACTTAAAATCTCTGCAATCTCCCTTCATTCTTCACTTTTTTGTTTGCTTTGAAAGTGGTTTTAAACCCCTTGTTTGCCTAAGTGTGAAATGGAGGTGTTACACCTAATGGTTTAATCCTTTAGGGGGTTCATTACCAACAGTGTAATGCCTCTTTCAAGCCCAAAGCTACTTGAGGTTTGAGCCATCTTTCCCTTAGAGGACAATCACTAATGGACTAAATTGATTAATGAATGGTTTTGGTAATTAAAATGAGTAAACAAAATTGGACAAGTAAAAAAGGCAAGATAAGCATCTTTCGTGTTGCATTGCATGTGTTCGAATCGGGCGTTAATTCGAACACAAGGAAAATGGAACATTTCATACTCAAAAGTGATAAAATGTGTCACTTTCCTTGGTCACCATCACCCTTGATCATGCATGATAGGGTGGTGGTCTTTTTGAGTCTTGTTTTGCACTCATTAAGCTTGTACAAACTTGGTTCTTTGGCCATCATGCATGGGAATTGCTTGATTGGTGATTTGAGAGCCAAGGGTTTCACTTCTTTGAGCTTGTTTGATGATAAGGAGTGTAAACAGTACAAACAAACCTGCAAAAGTAAACTTTTTTGCTCTGTTGTGCTCTCTGTTGCAGTAGAAAAGTCCAAACCAATAGTGGCCGACCGGCCACCATCAGTAGCCGACCGGCCACCTTTGTTGGCCGACCGACCATCAGCAGTGGCCGACCGGCCCCCCTCTCGGCCACCAATGAAATTCAGCAGAATGTTCCTGAGGCAGAACAGATTTGATTTGGAGAAGAGGAAAGTATAAGTGCTTCTGTGCAACAAAGGCTTGTAGCAGCAAAACAGTGGCCATTCGGGTGGAATATCGAGCATGCATGCATCCCTCACTTCTCGAGGCCTTTTAGTTGCTTTGCATAATGTTCATGCATTTGTCGTAGGGGAAAGAACCTCCAGACATAAACTGTGAAGCCACAGCAAATCTCTGCTGCTGAATTGCCTTCATTGTCAATAACTCATCAAACAGTGTAACTATATATAAGTAGGGAAGAGAGACATGTGAGAGAGGAAGTCATGTGAAAGGAGGGTATTACTACATTTACTTATATAGATAGTAGGAAAATGAGTGAGAGTACTAATTAGTGCTACCACCAATGATGTGGCAGTGGGTCCCACCCACGGCTACAATGTTGTTGTGTCTGTGTTTTTTTTTTTTTTTTTTAACACAAAATAAATGCCACATCATTAATGGTTACTTTAAGACACCACTTTTAGTGGTTTCTATCATTGCCCTAGATAGTATTGATAGATATAGATAAATAGATAAATGGTATACTTATTCAAATAAAAATGAGAGAAAAATAACTGAACGATTCAATTCATTTATTTTTCTCCGAGTTCCCAAACATAGTGTAAACCCTATTCCCTTAGAGACAGCGGCTCTCGCCTCCCTTACCCCTCTCCTTGCTCACGCCGCCGATGACCTCACCTCTCGCAGCCGGTTTATAAGGCCATATATATACATATATATTGTCATTGGGGTTAGGGTTCTCTCATTCTCTCACCTCTCACCTTCAGTCGTTCGGTTTCAAGGCCTTACCTCTCATTCCGTTCGAAATTCGTAAACGACACAGCTTATCGGACGAATTTTCTCCGGCACCAGGTACTGCAATCTCCTCCTACTTCGCCACTTCCCGCCACCACCTCCTCTGAGTCAGTGAGTCCCTGACCCAACCCGCCCTCTCTAATATTTTGAATTTTTGTGTTCTTTCCTTTAAACTTTGATTAAACGCATCAGTAATGACAGAGTTGTAAATTTGATTCAATTTGGTACGAGTTTGAATAAAGGAGGGCGATTTTTAGCCAAATTTATAAATTTGATATATAGGGTTTGAGTCAAGGATTAGAGATACCATGTAGAACTATTTGGAAATTGTTTGTTTACATTTGTATTGGATGCATGCTTGCTTGCATTGTATATTGTTGTACGTATATGTTAAATATGTTTGGTTTGGTTTGGGGGTTACTTTTTGCAGAACTAAAAATGGAGCAGAGACTGGCTAATACCTTGAGGATGACTGTTAATGAGAAGAAATTCATCGAGACTGCTTTACTATCGGACCTTAGAGTTGATGGTCGCCGTCCATTTGATTATAGACGGCTTACTATCAAGTTTGGTAGGTAAGGATGGTTAATGTGGCAGTCCGTCTATGTTAATGGAGATTTATAAAGTAGTGCAGCTATGTTTTAGCCTCTAGAGATTAAGATGCTTTTGTTTGTGTATGTCAATTGACTTGGGAAGAGATTTGCCAATGATTTAATTAGTCAACTGTTATTTCTCCCAAATGTTTTGAATGGTTAGTTTAAGGACCCAGTCCTTTTGTTCAATAATCAGTGTGTGTGAAATCCTCCTAGCTGCTTTGATGGCGACTTAGGAGGAGATTGTTGTACCTGGAGTGGTGGCTGTCGAGTGCGTCGTTGCCGGAGAAAATTCGTCCGATGAGTTGTGTCGTTTACGAATTTCGAACGAAATGAGAGGTGAGGTCTTGAAACCGAACGGCTGAAGGTGAGAGGTGAGGGAATGAGAGAAACCTAACCCTAATGACAATATATATGTATATATATGGCCTTATAAACCGGCTGCGAGAGGTGAGGTCATCGGCGGCGTGAGCAAGGAGAGGGGTAAGGGAGGCGAGAGCCGCTGTCTCTAAGCGAATAGGGTTTACACTATGTTTGGGAACTCGGAGAAAAATAAATGAATTGAATCGTTCAGTTATTTTTCTCTCATTTTTATTTGAATAAGTATACCATTTATCTATTTATCTATATCTATCAATACTATCTAGGGCAATGATAGAAACCACTAAAAGTGGTGTCTTAAAGTAACCATTAATGATGTGGCATTTATTTTGTGTTAAAAAAAAAAAAAAAAACACAGACACAACAACATTGTAGCCGTGGGTGGGACCCACTGCCACATCATTGGTGGTAGCACTAATTAGTACTCTCACTCATTTTCCTACTATCTATATAAGTAAATGTAGTAATACCCTCCTTTCACATGACTTCCTCTCTCACATGTCTCTCTTCCCTACTTATATATAGTTACACTGTTTGATGAGTTATTGACAATGAAGGCAATTCAGCAGCAGAGATTTGCTGCGGCTTCACAGTTTATGTCTGGAGGTTCTTTCCCCTACGACAAATGCATGAACATTATGAATAACTCACCAAGGTACATTAATTTACTGATTTTGAGTATGTTTTTATTGTAGGTATTTGGTGTGGTAATGTTTTTTGAGTTTTTTTTTATGGCATTGTTCTGCATGTATTAATAAAGGAGACATTTTTATACGTGGAACCAAGCAATTTGTTGGTTAAATCTCTGCTTAGGTTCTGGGTTTTTGGATTTGGGTTTATTTCTGGTGTCATCTTTATGCCATTGTGTTGCAATGTAGATCTGCGGCAGTGACATTGATGATTGGGGATGAATACCTCAAATTCGGTTGCTGCCGAACTGAAAGGAATGATTTTTCAGCTACAGGATTCGGAGGAAATGCGAATTCTTGTTCTAGACAGATTTATTTGACATTTCCAGCTGATAGTACATTTAGGGAAGAGGATGTTGCCAATTACTTTAGGTAATTGATTCATGGTTGTTTGAATCTTTCGATATTTGAAATTCAAATTGAGCATTTTGCTTAAGATAGTTTTGTTTATTGATTTGAAGCAAGTTTGGACCAGCGCAAGGTGTGAGGATTCCATACCAGCAGAAGCAAATGTTTGGGTTCGTTACATTCCTTTACCTGGAGACTGTGAAGATCATTTTGGCCAAAGGGAACCCTCATTTCGTTTGTGATTCATGTGTTCTCGTTAAGCCGTACAAGGAGAAAGGTAAAATCCTTGACAAGTAGAGACAATTGCTCTAATTCTTTCTTTAGTTTCTGTTTGTATTGCTTACTTTCATTTGTTGAGTTTGCATTGTTGATTGAATGATTGTTAGGAAGCAACAGCACCATCAGTTGGAGAGAGGAGAATTTTCATCGTGTTTAAGCCCGTCTGGGATTGACTCTGGAGGGCCCTACGATCTCCCCATTGGTAATCATACAAGCAAGCTTGCTTTTTCCCCCATTTATTATGCAATTCTGTGTATTCAAGCTCCCATTCTTACTTTATACAGGACCAAGTATGTTTTACAATACTCCAGAGATAATGTTGAGAAGGAAATTAGAGGAACAGGCTGAATTGCAGCAAGCTATTGAGCTCCACGAAAGAAGACTTATGAATTTGCAACTTATGGACTTGAAGAATCATCATCACAGTCATCAATTCCAGACGAACATGGTGCCTAACATTCCCATTGCCTCTCCTGCTCAACCTCACCTCCATATTAATCAGAGTCTTGCGTTTCGATCTGACGGTGTTAATCAGGAAGCCTCAGAAGGTTAACTAATAAGAATCATTATCAACAGTCATCAATTTTCATGCATTTTTATTTATTTTTTAATCAATGCTTTTAGGTAGTTTATAACTCACTCTCTCTCTCTCTCTCGTTTTTTATTTTTTTTTGTTTTCCCCAGAGAATTATAGTAGCCCAGCTGCATCCAATTCTCTAACTGTTGCCACTGAACGGCAGCAGCAACATCAACAGCAAGACGCAAAAGAAGCTTGTAATAACAGCAATGCCCGTGACAGTGGCGACAGCAAGGAGCAATTCTCCAACCTTGAAGATGCTGATCTCCATGAAAGGTATAAATAAAACATCAATTTCAGATTCAGCTCTATATTGTTTGAGTTATATTCTGCAGGTTGCTTTTCTTTGGATAGTTTTGCATTAGGTTTTCAATTGTAGGTTTTTTTTTTATTTTTTATTTTAATAATTTTCAAACTTTGTGTTTGAAATGGGTGCAGTTTAGAGCACATCCTCCCTGATAACCTCTTTGCTTCTCCTATAAAATCGGCCGGTGAACACTACTCTATTTTCTCCACTGCTTCACCAGAAGCCGATGATAGCACCTTAGTAACAACTACATCATCTAACAACATCCCAATGCTGCCCACCACTTCCACCCTCAATATGGCTTCTCTGTTATCATGTTCTTTCCAAATGCCAAGGTACCACTGCTTCTGCTGGTGCTGCTGCTGCTGCTCTCTCTCTCTCTCTCTCTGACTAGAGTGAGTGAAGTTAATTCAAATTAGTATTGTTGTTTACAAGGTTTTCTTCTGGGCAAGAAGCCATTGAAATGTAGGTGATGGGGGTGACCATGATCAGCATGTTGGGCGTTGACTTTAGCTTGGGTAAGAGACTATCAATGTTGCATTTCTTTGATCATGCTGCCCAATTTTTACATAATTTGCACAATTTCTAGTTGAATATTGATTCTTGGTAATGTTTGGCATTTTATTTTTTCATTGTTGCAGAAAAGTTGAGTAGAGCATATAGAAGGAAGAAAAAGTCATCTAGCTGTATAGCCAAACCATACCATCAACAAAAAAGAAAAAGATCTGTAAGGAAGATCTCCTCAAGATTATTGTCATCATCAATACCATGCTCTAGTTACAAGTATACATAATGCATGCATAAAGGACAGATGAACTAATTTATGGGAGTGGGGTCTGTCTTTATTTTTGTACCCTCTCTGTAGTTGTAGTTGTAGTTGTAGTTGTGTGCTGGACCACACACAGTACAATATATATAGCATAACAAAACAGTTACTAGTAACTCTTGTTATATTGTTAATTTACCTTTTTTTTTCAAAAATTTATTATATATAATATTGTTTATTATCGATAGCACACTCTCTTGAGGTGAAAGTGAAAAAATAAAGAAAGTAGGAAAATATAAGTTACAAAGATCTGAAACAGAACTGTAACTACTACACTTAGCAATCCCAAAAGGGTAAAGAGTGGTGTAAACTTTAGTGGTTAAAAGCAGGTCTTATGTCACTCTTTTTTTTGTTTTAAATGTTCTTGTTATTGCAGAGCATCTGTCATCCCGTGGATCATCACTCAAAAGAAAGAGTGGAGATCATCACTCAAAAGAAATAAAAAAGTTGCTAGTGAGAGACAGAGGGAGGGAAAAAAATGGGGGAGAGAGAAAAAGGATGTTCTTTTAAGTGATTAAAGGTTACTTTAGGGGATCTCTTTTGTCTCATTTTTGGTTTCTTTTAGGTGGAATGAAGGGAGGAGGGCCACACTGTCACATGGGTGCTGACGCCATTTGAATGGTATTAGGGTACCAAAGACACTCCTTTCACTTTCAGTCCCTACTAGCCTCAATTCAGAATGGAAAATATATATTATAGGTTTTTGGCCTTTTGTTTTATGGGTAATGCTGCCCTACCCTTATGTTTTGGCATGGTGTTTAATTTATGTCATAGTGGGTGGTACATTTACATGTTATTGAACCCATCAGGGTAGCTTAAGAGTATCTCTTTGGAATTGGGTGTTAGTGTGTAAATAGACAAAAAAAAGGGTAAAAGTGAGACTCATCAATTTTGTGTTAGAATCGTTTGATTTAGTGAGTGAACGAGTGTTCCATTGAAGATATTAAGGTGTGTGTTGGATAAGAGTGGTGTCCACTTGAGTACGTATAAATGCGTCCCACAAGCATGAACGCCCCAATTGACATCCTCTGCTAACATCTGACCCGACCCTAGTTCCATGTTCAAGCTCAAGGCATCCATTGGAGATGTCCTTAGTGTAGCAGTTTAAGGTTGTCACTGGGACAAATCCTAAGTTAGGAAGTCTTGTGTTTAACTCTCTGGTTTTATCTGATATCTGTGACTCATAAGCATCCGGGATTTTACCTTGTAGTAGGGGTAGGTCTAAAGTGACTCTGTCTTGAAGCTTTCTTTGCCATAAAAAAAAGAGAATGAAAAAAAATACATGTTTTTTTAATTGATTGTTGCCCTCCAATTGTGTTTAAAATTGCACTTTGACCAACATTGTTGAGCCCTAAGCAGAAAGTATCAAAAGTGGTGTGTGAATGGTGGTTGTGTTGTGTATTTTAAACTCATCAAAATGAAAAACAGTCACGGGTTACTGTAGAATTTCTCTCCTTTAAAGTCATCCTGCTGTTTCTGTGTCTCTTTTTGATTCTTTTGTATGTATGCTCAGACAAAACAGAGCATCATATAGAAAATAGAAAATTGGTTATTGGGCCCCACCCTGCTCTGTAGCTATCTTGCATGTTATACACACAAATGGATATTGAAAAATGATTTATAAGTTTCTTATAAAAAACAATGATGTTGTCTCCTCAATGATATTTTTAAAAATTATGAGGGCAATATTGAATGTTTTGATGTGAAATGAAGGGATTTGAAGAAGTTATTTTATTCTGTAGGAAAATTTTGTACAAAATTTTTGGTTCTCTATCATTATTTATGTATATTATATGTTGTTTGCTGGAGCAATCTATGGTATGAAATTTGACATTGAGAGATTTATAGCTGGCAATTTATAAAGTTCACTTGATTTGTTGAATTTTGTGTAGTTGATTCTATTTAAAAGTGTGACTGACATTGCCAGGCCAGCATCACTGTGTTTGGTTTGAATTTTTTGAGTTAAGTTTTTTTAAAATTGAATTTTTTGATTTTCGTGTTTTTTTGTTTTTAGTGAATTTTTTTAAAATTTTAAATATTTTTTTTTACTTTTTTAGATGTATCTTATTTAGATGTATCCAAAAAGTAAAAAATTTGTAAAAAAATATTTTTAAAAATTAATAAATACATAAAAATATAAAAAATGTATTGAATTCTCGTATTTTTTTTTGTATTTTTGATATTTAGTGAATTTTTAAAAGGTTTTTTTCATAATTTTTTTTACTTTTTAGGTATATTTATGTTAGGTATGTTTAAAAAGTAAAAACAATTGTTTAAAATATTTAAAAAATTGGTAAAAACAAAAAAAATACGGAAAATAAGAAAGTAGAATTTTCTGAAAACAGTTTTTGAAAAACTGAAATCAAGCATAGTGAATATAGCTGGCTGATTTGAAATTTCTCTACTTGATTGGCGGGGAAAAAAATAAAATCATAGGCTATGTTTGGATGTTTGATTTATGGAAGGATTTTTACTTCATTTTTTATCTCATTTTTTTGGCCCTTTTCGTTTACATATTGCCTAAAAGGAATATTCTCATTTCTTACACTTTTTTTTTTTTATTTTTTAAAGAAAAAATTGAGAATGCATTGATAAATAAGTTTTTTTTTTTTTTTTAATTTAAAAAACCAGTGCAATTAATAAATCTTGTAAAATTCTATCAATCAATATATTGTGTCAAAAAGTATGCATTTTAGTCCAGGAAAATATTTCACTTCATTAATCTCATAAATAAGCTTCTTAAAAAAAAAAAAGAAAACTAGGAAAAATTGCGCACAAGGGAAATCTTTCTAAAATGATTATCGTTCCATGAAAAATTTATAATTTTAAATATTAATTTTTTAAAAAAATTTTCTATTATTCTAAAATTACTCTTACAAGCTTCCATTGATTTGTTGTTTCTCTCTAAAGAAGAAAAAAAAAAAAAAAGAGAGGGCAGAGTTTGCAACATATATTCTAGGATCCACTCAACTCGATCGAATTGATCCAACCTAATTAATTTTGTGCGGATTCGTATCTTTTGGTGGATAGATACGGATGACATATTTTAAAATTCACAGATACGGTTCGGATGGTGGATCAACCATCCCACACCCGCATAAATCTGATCCATCCATAGATGAATTTCAAAAAAAGAAAAAGAAAGAAACTGCTTTCAAGTAACAACATAGAGTAAAAATAATAAAATATATATTTTTGTGAAAATGAAAAACAATACTTTAAAAATATGCATATATGGTGTCATGGTCTATTATAGACAAATAATATATATATTTTTTAAGATTACTAGTTATTGGAGATTGTAAAAATTATGAATTATAATTTTAAAAAATGTTCAAAATTTCTAAAGTCCAAACTGTCAAACCAATTGCTTCTATCTGCCAATCTGCACGGCTTGCTCAATCAGTGAACGGATGTGGATTGACTTTTTTCAATTCACCTAATTTTGGACAGATAGCAAATGGGATGTCACTCAACCTAATCCGATCTGCAATCACCCTAATATATTCTCTCTCTGAGTCCACCTGCCCTGCCGTCAGCCTTTTCTTGGCCCAGGTCTTTGAAATATGTTTTGGCAATGGCTTGGGCCTACATGGCCTTATCCACTCAAATATCTTTAGGCTTGAGTAACGGCTTAGTGAGCTTGGTTAAATCAGATCAGTCCTGCCCTGTGACACTTTTTTTTCTTGAGATAATATTGTTTTAATAGGAAATGACATTTTCATACTTTGCTTACTTGCCTCTCACATCACGCTCTTGTGGTTACAAAATATTATTGGATGGGGCACATGACCATGTAGTATTTCAAATTTTTGTGATAATTTATGTCTATTGTATGGGGCAATATTACAAAAATTGCAAAAGAAATTGTATGAGAGGTTTTTTTTATTCACACACAAACATACACACACACATATGTATATATTGTGTATAACATTAATTTAATACATAAATTGTCATACGGTCATCACGTAAATCTTGATCTTTTTCTTGTAATTTATGGTATGTTCAGTTTGGGCCCATGTATTCGCAATCAATTTTATTTTAATTTATTCATCTTGTAAATTCCCGTCTATATACCATGATCAATAAAAAAAATCAAAATGATAGAATAATTGGAGTATTGGTGTAGTGCTGGCTAAAGACCTTCAGATGCCTTTATTAGGGATGTGGGTGTAGAGAGAGAAAGTAGAGAAAGAGAGTTGAAATGGAGAGTTTAGGGTTTGGGTGCATACGTTGATCTTTTTACGTAGCATATTTGTCTTGGGCCATTAAGGATGGTGGGCCTCAGTCTTGTTGGGCCTTGGGCCATATGGGTTGAGTAAAAAAGATGAAAAACAAACCAATCAAGGAGATCCTTCAAAAAAACCAATCAAGGAGATGATGAATCGCTTTGGGGTTCAAATGCAATGCACAATTGAGGCACCTTATCGTTGTCCATACTGGGTTTATATGCATGCTTTTTATTCGTCCACTAGCCATCCATGGGGCTTTATTTATTTATTTGAATATTATCAGTATTTTTAAATTTTAAAATCGTCTAGTCTGAAAATTGATTTAAAAAGTATAAAACTTCAGTTTAATAGATTCTTTTAGGCAAAGTTATGTTGACTTGATCGATTTTATAGAAATTAATCTTATTGAGATATGATTTTTTTTTTAGATAGGTTTAAGTTTCTTAATAACTATCCTAACTAAAATTTTTTAGAGCAGCCACTGGACAAATTTTGTTTTTCACTGATCTAATTATATTGTAGTTCTTTTCTAGATTACTCGCTGAATGATTATGCTGTCAAGTATGAGCCATTCAACTTTACTTGGCCCTAGTATTTGAAGTAGATTTTTACAATAACTTGGGCTTACATGGCCTTATCCATTCTGATATATTACTTTTTAGGCTTGATTAACGTCTTAGTAAGCTTGGTTAAGCCCGACCAAGCAGCCCGGTCAGTGACACCTATTTTCTTGAGATGATATAATATGTTTTTAAATGAAAAATAATAATCACACTTTAGTCTCTCATATTACACTCCCCTTGCGAGGGGGAATCTATATATATATATATATATATTAAGAAAAATGAAATTTCTAACCATAAGAATTATGTGAGTTCCAAATCCTCAAATTAATTTTGTTAATTTTTTGTATTTTTAAATAATTAAAAAACTTTTTATTGGT